CAATAGAAGGTTGCCTGCTTTTTTGCGCGCATTGTTACTTAATTTCCCTAAAAGTAGTGCGGGATGTCACAAAGGCGCGGTCACCAAGGGTGGATCCAGGGATGGGCAAATGGGGGCTGTCCCCCCCCCCCCCTGAGCAGAAAAAGTGAATTGATTTTTGTTATTATTTTCAAAGTTGTTTATAACAAATAAAGCCCATTTAGCCCCCCATAAAATTTCAGCTGGATCCGCCCTTGGTCAGCCATTATGATCATTAATGGTTCTAGTCTCGGTGCCCCTAGTGCATCCTTGGTACCAAGAGGGTGGACTTATCTTGTAGTATAATGGTGGGAACTAGCGGTAAACTAGTGTGAGCTGCGTCGGTGTTTCTAAAGAAACAGTTATAGTAAAAGATAAATTCAACACCGTAAAAAAGTATGTGAAATAACTTGCTGACGTTTCGGACGTTAATCCTTCGTTAAGTCACTTTTACTCCGACGAAGGATTAACGTCCGAAAACGTCAGTAAGTTATTTCACATACTTTTTTACGGTGTTAAATTCATCTTTTTACATAACTGTTATCTTGTAGTATAGCTTACTTAACGCCGCGTAGTTGTGAACTCTGTTACTGAATTCGGTGAGGATTTTAGAGGAAAAAAAAGAAATCGTTTATTGAGTTAATAGCAGTCCTTGGTTGTCTATGCTTCCCTTTTGCAAGTGCATGAAAGTTGCAAATACTCTTTTACCCATCATGCTTTAGTATAGAAATGACGTCACTGGGCATTGCATCTTAGCTGAATCTCACTCAGATACAACAAAGCAGGATTCAAGAGTACGTCTCATCGAAGCGTTTTCCGTATACTTGCTTAATATTTAGCCATTCTTAATCAAATTTAAAAAGAAAAAATTATTAACTTTATAGAATACAACTTTAGCGGACACTTGACAGAGGGATTGGCATTTCATAACCTTTGTAAAACGTTTCTTTTTTTTTTCTAATGACACTATTCTTTTYAGTCACCCGCGAGACAAGAAACAACACCAAACTCATTGCTTATTAATCAAAATCTTCACCATTCATGCAAGCATTGCGATTTACCAGCAAATACAAGTCTAAATAAGGATGATGTTRTGATGTTTTTCTCKTACATTGGCCATTTAGGGCGAACTTAGAGTGTAACATCACCAGGGATCATTGACATCGATCCACTCAACTACACGCGGGATATGGTCGGGATGTCCTCCGTGTAAACAACGAATTACCTCATGACTCTGGTATTCGCTCAAATTGAAAACCCTTTTCTCATTTTKCTTGTTAGGTTGAAGTACAGGAGAGGGAAGGAATTGTTATTTTWAAAGAATCACTGGAATCCACGTATTTGTACGTGAAAAAGAAACAATGGCCAGGCTTGAAAGGACTGGTCTGGCGTTGGTTTGCTGGCTTCTGTGTTTGATGATCGCCGTTGGTGATAAACCCGAGGACGCACCTAAACGTAAGACAAATATAAGGTTTACCAACGTAAATCTAAGGGTTTATGTATTATTGTCAAAGAAATAGAAATAGATTAATTTTGTGGGGTTCGTGACCAAGCCAAGAAACAGACTCGACAAAATTGCTCTAAGGAGATACCTAAAGCCGTGAAACAAAATAGTTTAGTTGACAACGATACGAAAACAGAATGGGAAAGAAATGCGTTTAAAGACAAAAAAGACCACTGAAACTGAACGCCTTCTTTTGTCTTAAAATATGTTTCTTTCCCACTTAATACAAATGGTGCACTTTTCTGTGACAAAGTTATTTCTATTATGCTTAATGAAGTTTAATTGTTACAAAGTTAATATATTATTATTTTTAAGGATTTTTCTTTCCCACTTTACACAAATGGTTGCACTTTTCTGTGACAAAGTTATTTCTATTGTACGCTTAATGAAGTACAATTGTTACAAAGTTAATATAATTATTTTGAAGGATTTTGTGCCTCATTTGTCATGGACTGCACCACAAAAGGAGACAGGAGAATTAGACTATATTTTCTTATCTGTATTTGGAGGCTAAACTCCAAGAGATCACTGACAGCTTTATTAGGTCGGTGTATTCCTGATACAGTGAGGTCACTACCCCGTGAACTACTATAATTATCTCTTCCTGTTTTCATTTTTGTCCAGAATGGACTCATTAAACCCGTGAAACAAAATTTACTATTAAAGTGTCTAGTGATAGTCAAATAGACACAAAAGAAAACAATGGAATTATAAGCGTTCTGTTTCAGAGTTTTTTTTGACTTCACTGTATTTGAATTGCTACAGAGTGGACGCACTTAAACCCGCGAAACAAAATGTACTAATTACTAATAAATGTCCTTGATTAAACAACACTATTTAAAAGATTGCCGTAATTAAGTACTATTCTACTATTTAAGTTTTACGGATAAGTGCGCTATTCAACAACTCTTGTTTCTATTCTTTTATCATAGCTTGCTACGAGGCGTTAGGAGTTCAGACTGGTGGTCTAGACGATGAGGATATTTCTGCATCAAGTAAGCTTGATAACTTCACTGCAACAGACTCATGGTGTCCTCCAGAAAACGACGAAAATCAATACTTGCAAGTTGATTTGGGRGAAAAAACTAAGCTAACGCGAATAGCGACACAAGGGGATTTAACCCACCCTGATAAACTCGTCAAGAGYTTTGCAGTATTACATAGTATGGATGGGAAGAAATTTCAGACTTATAAAGAGAATGGAACTGAAGCGGTAAGCTAGGAATTCAATACTTTAATCCTAAAGTTTTCTGGTTTGCATAGCTCATTTGACTCATTTGGATCTTTTCGGAGCGYAAATTAACACTGCAAACGATTCGCGCTATATTGACTAATAGAGGTATCCAAAACAGAGACAACTGCAACGACCCTTATAACTTTACCACAAAAGTCGTACCGTAGGAACCCGATTAGCTTCTTCAAAGCATCCCAACACTCTCTTGATAAAAACACGACGGACCTTTCGCTCGTTTCTAGAAAATTCTAAAAGGTGACCCAAACGACCCAAATTGTCTTTAAAATAGGAAAAAAATACAAAGCGATAAGAACTTACTAGATTTTTGTATCAACACCACATTTTCACCAGGTTTTGAACAATATTCTATACTTTTAGATATTCGATGGAAATGTCGACTCTTTCACAGTTCACCATAATAACCTCAAGACGCCATTTGTAGCTCGCTATGTCAGAATAAATCCAAGATCATGGGAGAAGGGKATATGTTTAAGAGTGGAGCTTTATGGATGCGATCGTAAGTATAAAGCAACTACTGACTCCTTAATGCGGCTTTTGCATAATGGTTGTACAAGCAACGGCAAGGGCAATACAAGATACGGTCAGGGAATCTCACGTTTTCAACTATTCCCATGAGGTTCAAAAGTGAAAAGACCGGCGGCCATGTTGGAGGAATGAACAATAGATACTAATGAGAAATCCTTTGTTAAAGTTCCTCCAATATGGCCACTGTGATGTAACTTAATAAAAACTTAGAATTGCCGCTACAGTAAAGTGTTGTAATGGCAAGTGCAACTKCCCTAGTTTTTCGCAGAGTAAACCGTGATCGCAAAGTCATGATAAAGAATATAGATTATCATYGTCTTTTACACTTAATTGTCGAAACAATACAATAGTAATGATTGTGTTAATATTATACTAATATCTATTTATCTATTGCTTTTTTACAGCATAGAGTAATTGTAAATATGAGATTGTGAAAAGCGYGTTTCCATCTGTCAGTCAGAATCACTTTAGAGGCTGGGATATTGCTGCACATGGAAACTACACCTCACTTACAATTTATYATAATCATGAGCACAATCAGCCTTGGACACAATGAAAGGACAATGTAGAAAGAAGAAGGCATTGTGGTTCTTGTAAATACAGTGTTCGTCAAAAACAATGACAAATATCTAGTACAGATGTACACTATAACAAGCAGTAAAAGTTCAAAATGTTTGCAGAACTTACTTATAGCTTATAATTTACAGATTATGAATATCATTTCAGGTGATATTTGTGCATGCACAGAATATTGTGTGAATAAATRCATGTTAGCTTCAGATAAATTCAAAAACAAAAAAAAAAAACAAAGGCACTTCACTTCACTTGAGTCTTTTGATAAAGATAGTCTTATAATTTGATAGTTTTTTCATGCTTTTGTTTTAAAAGCTTGTACTATGTACAGAAAAGGGYAATGGTTATCAGGTTTTATAGAATACAAACATGTATTATATATCAATAAAGTAGTTTGTAAATATYAAGTCCCATTTTGATCATTTACATTATAAGATGGTCTCTTATAAGCACTTTGGGAGAGCACTGGAGAAACAAGCGGCACTCTCACTTCTTTGATTTTCTAATGTCTTTTAAAGTTTTTATGTCAGAGTTTGAAGAGGCAAAACTTGGAAGGAATGCTCTCTAAATAACACAGTCAACTACCTTAAAATTCTTGTGGCAGAGTCTTTTTTTTCTTTGGTTTTGCATRTAAAAGGTTTTCAGATYGAAATTTTGGTCTCTGATTTTCATCAATGCTCAGGCTGCCAAACCAAGTTCTCAACATCTCARAAATGTACCTTTTTGCCACCTCTTCTAGCCACATCAAGCAATGCACACATTGAGAYAAGACCATACAAAATAATGCTTGAAACATAAATAATAAAGGATTTTTACCTTCAAAATTCCTCTGGAACCATTGTGAGAATCCAGTCTTTCAAGTGATCTATCTCATATACAGAGAGCTCATTGTCRTCTTTTGCATAATAAACGTGGAATTCACTATCAATATCAAGATCCATGAAACACTCTGCTGTWAGSGTAGCCCATTTTAGGGATGTTTTCTTGTCATCATGATCATGACACARAAATAAACGAGGAAATTCTTTATTTTTGTCCTCTTGTTTCTCTTTCAAAATATGTCTAAAGACACTAGATGCAGGGTTAAGGTAAGTTGAGAGTCCAAACACACCAGCAATGTCAGGAAGATACCTTGAATTTAAAGAATGTGCATTTTATTAATTTATACAATAGTCTCCTTCACGGTTACCTGCGCCATCTTGAAAGGTAGCCGTGCCTTTACATCGAAGCGAGATGG